ATAAGCTCGGGCCGTATAAAGAAACAAGCCGATACTCGGAATGAGAAGAAGAATACCGCTAATAGAAAAGTGGAGGAGCAGAGTCTAAGGCCAACCATGTAATTAGCCTCCACGGCAAAAGGTCACAGTTAGGCAGGCCGAGGGGGAGGATCTCGGACGCGAAGTTCGGGATGTGAAGACACTCGGAATTATCGGGGATCTCCACGTCCCCACAGTTATCCCACATACTTCCGTTTAGTTACTGTACACCATTTTGAAGGTACTGTAGATTTATATATATATGTGCAGATTGAACTATTCTGTATGTATAGGAGTGTTTGAAATAAATTGGATATCCCATATTTACCCTAACGAGTTAGTAATTTGCCAGGCATCAAGGCATTAAGGTACTAAGGCACTAAGGTATCCAGGCATTCCCGATACCCGACTAAAGCCGACGACGTTTAACCCGATTAGGACTCTATACAACAACCTTGGAACCCTAGTCGCCCTTTGAGGACCCTTAACTTCATTGAGGATAGATAGGCATCCAATATTGGAGACAAGGCCAAAGAATATCACTTATTAGGTGTCAAGTAGTTATTGGTTCTTTCATTTTCAACATGAGTAGTCTGATAAGCGTGTCAGGGCTTCAAGGACCCCAGTTATAGTCTTGACATTCACTGGCCCACATCGATACTGTCACGCAAGATCCGGAATTAGATGCTCTCTCCCTTGCCAAAAAATTTGTGGATCATCCAATCGCTTCCAAAGAATTCGTTCCGCGCCAAGCTCGTCATCATATCTCTTCTCTAAAGCATTTTGCAATCCTATATAGCATTCGGGCCGATCTACCTGACCACAATGTGCCTTAGTATACTCCCAATATTCTGGGTACCAGCCGCCAAATTACCAATCAACGATCACAGAGACCTTCCCATTTTCTACGCTGATATTCCGAGGGGCGATATCTGCATGGGTAAAGCAGCTCCAGTAACCTCGGGAGTGGCATTCGGTGACCTCTGGACCCAATGATTCTGTAGGGATATCCGCTCGAAGGTATGAGCGAAATCCTCCATGGCTCATAAATGGCCCAAAACTCCAACATCCGACTCTATGATTGAAGGCTTTTTCGAAAGTCGGGGATGCAACTATTCCTTCTTGCGGATGTTCTAGTTTCCGAAGCTGGCTAATATAACCCGCAACCTGATTGGTAATGTGCTTCTTTTGATCTTGTGATAGATAGCCGTGGTGCCTTGAATTCTCGAGGCTCATCCCGCAGATATACTCCATTTCAATATAGAGCCTGTCATCATGATAGTGGGTAGTGAAGACTTTGGGGACAAGAATTGACGTGTGCTCAGCGACATATCCCAAGGCTTCTAGCTCCGGCAAATGACAAGGCTTGATAATTCTACCAGGGCTGACTTGGACTCCATGCGGCCCTAGTTTGTCTGCCCCAAAGAGTTTCTTGCCAATCCATAACCGGAGGGGAAGAAGATACGAGGTTGGGGGTTTCTCTCATTCGCCTTGGCTCGCTGGGTTCAGCAGATAATTTCCCGTGTGTTACTGATGAAGTGACAAGTTGCAGAGGGAGTCAAGTCCATATGATTCAGGATACGTTTGGTTCAGGAATGCAGGTGGGTGGAAAGGGGATGATCAGACTCTGGATATTAAAGGAGATGTGTACTAGTTGGTTAATTATAACTATGAGAATCAGCACCAAAGCTGAAATTCTACAACTCTCGATTTTGTTACACTGCGATATTTAAATCTCACTTGAAAGATGTACAATGTTAAGGGATCTATATAAATCTGTAATCTACAATCTATAATCTATAAAAACAGTACCTAGGTAGCTTCCGGTAAATGATCCGAGATCTGGTGGAAAAGCCTTTTGCCGGGATCTGCCCAGGTGGTCGGCAAGCACCTGGTTCCTCTCATTCCCCGGGGGAACATTTGCCGTTGGAAACATTGTCATCTGGGGTATTGATCTACTAATCTACTTAGGTTTCAGACTGTTTCTATCTGTACTTTCTATACTACATTGCCCTATCTATTGTCCATGAGAAGTCCCACTCATCCTTTCTCAACATCCCACATTCGATCTTTGGATGCAATTCTATGCCTTGAGTGCATCTGATCATGGCGCTCGTTCACTTGACATAGACCCCAATTAATTCATCGTCTCTCACCATGCTCGATTCCAAACCCTCCATTCCTCCCATGGCCGACGCCAAGTCCGACATCCCCGCATGTGCCACCAAGGAATCCTCCTCTCCCATGCTCCGCCCGGAGTCCGCCCCTCGCACCTTTGCTCCCAATGCATCCCTCGTCCTGATCGGCATCCGAGGATGCGGCAAGCGCTCGCTCGGCTTTGTCGCCGCGACCGCGCTGAAGCGACGCTTCATTACCGAAGACCACTACTTTCGAGAGGTCACGGGCGTCACGCGACAGGAATACCTCAAGCGGTATGGCAGCCAGGAATTCCAGCGCCGGGACATCGAAGTCCTGAAGATGATGCTGGATAACCACCGCACAGGCTGCGTTATGGAGTGCGGGCTGGCCAGTTTGACGCGACCTGTACAGGATCATTTGCGTCGTTATGCCCGGTCCAACCCCGTCGTCCATCTGCTGCGCGACATCGATCGCATTCAGCAATTGCTTGGTTTGGAGGACCAAGCGGTGCGGTTGTTCCGTGAGGGGGATCCGATGCATCGGATGTGTTCGAATTTCGAATTCTATAATCTTGAAGATGGGACTCGTGCGTCCGACGATGGGAGCCCGGATCGCCGGTCTGCGGATTATTCTTTCAAGTTGCAAGAGGTGAAAGAAGACTTTACGCGGTTTGTGCAATTCATTACTGGACTTGATGTGAACTATTCGAGCTATGACTCGCCGTTCGTTCTGCTAGAGACGCCACCAGAGCTACGCTCTTTCACCCATGCTATCTTCGTGCGATCTTCAGATATGATCGCCGACAATGTCAACCTGACTGAACTCGAGTCGGGTGGAGATGCTATCGAGCTGTGTATCGATCGCTGGAACCCAGATATGGCAGCCACTGTCAGCAAGCATGTCTCTGTCCTGCGTCGAAATGCGCGGACCCCTGTGATTCTCTCCGTTGACACCTCCTCCACTGGCATTGGTTCCCCGAAACCAGCCACCTCTTCTTCTCGACCTTACTTTGATATACTCGAGCACGCTCTACGCCTGGGTGTAGAATATCTTGTTGTAGACCTGACCCAAGACCGATCCCGGCTGGCTGGGACTATCAGAAGTCGTGGAAATACCAAAATCATCGGCCAGCAGGTCTTTGAACCATCTTCCCCCACTACATGGGACAGCGCAGGCTGCGTCACCATCTACAACGAAGCTGAAAAGCTCGGCTGTCAGCTCGTCCGCCTCCTCCGGGTCGCAACGGAGCGCGAGGAAAATGCCGCCGTGATTGAATTTTCCAATAAAATCCGATCACTCCCAGGAGATCACCCGCCGCTCATCGCCTATAATATTGGCGCCCTAGGTCGCACCTCACAAGTTTTCAACTCGATCCTCACTGCAGTGACACACCCCGCGATCACCCAGTCTGCAGAGAATAAACACGACCCGCAAATAACCTCTCGCGACGCCGTCAATGCACTCTTCCAAAGTTACGTGCTCGACCCGCTCAAGTTCTACATCCACGGAGAGAATGTCACCTACAGTCTATCCCCGGCAATGCATAATGCCGCACACCAACACTGCGGTATGGGCCACACCTACAGCATCCCAGATTCACCCTCTCTCGCAGTCTTAGACCGGCTGGGCCGGGATCCACACTTCGGGGGATCCAGCGTCGTGCAGCCATGGCGTGTACAGGTATACCAAAAGCTCGCCTCGAAAAGCCGGCATGCCGAAGCCATCGGGGCAATCAACACAATCATGCCGCTCCGCGGACATGCAGATGGGACGATGTTTCCACTCCAAGAACAAGCCAGCCGACGCAACCAAGCCGGGCGCGTGCTGGGTTGGTACGGCGAGAACACCGACTGGGTCGGGATAATGACGTGCATCAGGCGACATCTCTCGCCTCGTAACGCAATCAGCGCAAAAACAACAGGCCTGGTCATTGGAGCGGGCGGTATGGCGCGGGCCGCTATCTACGCGATGCTCCGACTTGGGTGTCGGAAGATTTTCATCTACAACCGCACGCAGTCGCGTGCCGAGGAAGTCGCACGCCATTTCAACTCCTGGGCGTCATCGCAGGTGGACTCAGCTGAGGTGGTTTGTGTCTTGCATTCTCTTCGAGAAGACTGGCCCGCAGATGCTGCCCAGCCTAGTCTCGTTGCGTCTTGTGTACCAGCTGATCCAGACCGAGATGAACCACCAGCGAACTTTGAGATGCCCGTGCAGTGGCTTGGGAGTCCTACGGGAGGTGTGATACTCGAGGTGAGCTTTTTCTTCCTTCCGGGATGTGTGTGCTTCTTGTCACGTATTAATTGCATATAGTTGGCCTATAAACCCCTCGATACACCACTTCTACGACAAATGCGCCGAGTCCGGAGCGAGACTGGACGACCTTGGATTTTGTCTGACGGATTGGAGAATGTAACCGAACAGGGCATTGCTCAGTTTGAGTTGATGACAGGTCGCAAAGCACCTCGGCGGCTTATGACCTATGAGGTTCTACGCAATTATGTGGGTGACAGTGGGCGTTTTGACGAGAAAACTATTCAGGCTCGTTTGGATGGCGTTGGGTCTCCGGTGACTCTGGAAAATGAGTAAAAGGGCTTTTGATATGGCTGTAATCATTCCTGACTTCTTTGGTCAGTTTTGTATTTGTATAGTTATATAAAAACAATCTAAATCCACTTTAGACATGAGACTCGATCAATGCCAATCACCACGTGAACGTGCGCCGATAACACTCTCCTATCGGCACACCGCCCGACTAACATTTGGGCTTTCTTTTGTTTGGATCTCCTCGTCAGCTTCACTTCACTCGAAGACTCTTTTCCCTTGAGCTCTCCTTGTATTTCGAGCCATCTATAATATATTCAAATTGGCTTGAATACATACAACATACCACCAATGCCAGGGTTTTCGCCCGAGCAGACCGACTCAATAACGGCAACATGGAAGAAACGCAAGTGGGACCATGAGGAGCCTAGGACTCTAGCACGTCCGTAAGTCGAACAATGTTTCTCCCGGAGTGAATAGATAGTCTAACATGATCACCAGAGCAACATATATTCCATCCTGCCGAGTTGATCGGCCTGAATACGACGGTGGCTGCTCACTGCCTCTATCACGACACCCAGACGGAACAGACGTTTCCTTCCGACCACGATGTCTCCCTCGCAAGCGCCGACATGTCCAAGGCCCTTATCTTACACTGCCATCCCACCAGCTCCAGCATCAACATCAGCTCCAGCACTCACATCAACTCCAACTCCAACAATCACCAACTCACCTCTCCCCAAACGTCTACGGCACCCCAAACCAAGATCCATACTCACCTCCGGTCTCTCCCAAAACCCTCGTCCCCTTGCACTACCCAACCCAACAATCTGCCCCCCTTCCGCGCTCCGTCCCTGTCACATCTGCCACCGCCGCCCAACAACCCGCCAAGTCCTCGACGCCTACGCAGACTGTGATCTCTGCCACGAACGGGCATGCTTCATCTGTCTCCGACAATGCGATAGCGCATCCTGCGGTGGGACATTCGGTCTGCCAGAAGTGCATATGCACATGCATACAAGCTTAACCGACGACGCCAGCTACAATTCTAGCGAGGTACCGAGGAGGAAAATCTGCTCTGGCTGCGCTGTGGAGGAAGTCACCGAGACCGGAGCGGAGATTGTGCGCTGTCTTGACTGCGTCCGTGGTGCGAGCTCGTGGGCTGCGGCGTCTATTCCTTCTGATTGGGCTTTGGACGATATGCGACATGAAGATATGACCGAGTGAGGGTTATATATGAAGTTGATTCACTCGCCTCTGTGGGAATTGAGGGGGGATATGACAGAACGACACATATGAAACTATGGTATAACCTTATTTACGTGATGCTGCTCCTTGTGGAGTGACTTTTTTTTTTCGGAGTTTGATATTGGCATTGGACTGGACTGGAGGGACTGGCTGGGATTGAGGTGGATTTCTTTTTGGTATTTATACTGGACATGCAGCTTGGCGAATCTTTGTTTCTTATTGATATACTATAGCATATAACATAATTTACATCAACTTGTATACTCCTACTCCAGCTCTATGTGTTCATATACTAGACTGCTCTCAGCTTACATTCAAAGGTGAAAACCAAGTCAAAATAGATCAATGTAAGTCTAATAATATGGACAGAAGCATCTATATACCAAACAATGTCTCCTATAGTCCCATAAGTAAAGGGTAACGCCGATATATACTGTCCAGGTGGGACATGGCTGAGGGGGTAAAACCTCTTACCCTCATGCCTACCCGGTGGGGGTGAGGGAAAACAGAAAACCCTCACAAAAAATCCCAAAAAACCCCCCAAACCCCATATCTCCCGGTCCTCGCACGAGATCCTCTCTATCGAGCTTGCGCGTGTGTTTCAGCGGCGAAGCATCCATATTTCTTTGGGAAAACGGGACTATGAGCGAAATACTCCAAGCCCAACCTTATCCCTCCTGTCGGAGACCGTCCCCCCCTCCTGACATTTTTTTTATTTGATTTGATTTTACTTTTGTTTTATATTTGAATATGTAATAGTATATATGGAAGAGGATGTAGTTAAAGTATAGGATATACCCTTATACATTACACACATGTGCACGGTAAGGAGGTTTTGGCAATCCAATTAGTTGTGAGCACTTAGATAAATTAGATAAAATGATTTTCAGAGTATTTATATTGCTCTTTGTCTTGTCAGATTGTTATCGTGGTAACTTGCGTATGTATGTATAGACCGGAGGTTGATACTAGAAAAGATACATAGAAACATAGATTAAATGCATTGATGCCATGCTAGAAAGAAAGACCATAGAACAGTACAGGAATATGGTAAGGGTATAGCCAAAATGAAAAACCCCAGGTTCATCCACATGCAAACCTACTTCTTCCCAATCTCAACCTCAATATCAACCTCAACCCGCAATCCCTCCAGCTACTCTACCTACCAAACCTCATCTGAGCCCCAGCAAAGTGCCAAAGACCACGCATATACCCCTGATACTCCACCGCCTCTCCATCCCCACTAAGTCCATGACTGCGTCCACCGGTACAATACATCTCCGTCAACCTCAACTGCCAAGGTGGATACCCATCGAGCTTAAGGAACGGACCAAAAACAAGCAACAGATCTGGCTCGGGTTTGAGCACCGTATCCGGCAGCGTGGGATCCATAGACAATGGTTGCGTAGTGATTTCGCTGATCTCCGCGTCCACCAACTCCGGGGTGATATCCTCCGGGGAAAGCTTGCCATTCTGGCTCATCTCCGCTAAGGTCTTGGTTAGGTCCACAAGAGTCTCGCGGCCGTCGGTTGAGGAGAGGAGGAGGATTGTCAGGGTTTGCGGTTTGGTGGTGGTGTCGGTGTTTTTTGTGATAGGTGCACTGCGGTGGACTGGGTGGTGAGGGGCGTAGAGTTGGAGAATTGGTTGGTGGCTTGGAGTGCCGTAGTAAGAGGCGAGTTTGGTGGTGATTATTTGGTGAAGGGCTGGGATGCATGATTTCAGGACACCTAGATAGATGGTTAGTATTACTGTATCCTATATCCTACATATCCTGGATGGATAGTAGAGAGGATATCTTCATACCAGACTTCTCATATACACTGAGCTGGGAAATCCCCGAGCACGAACTCCAGGCGGCCAATTCAGCAACCTCATCCATCAACACCGCAAGAGCATCATCTTCCTTCCGTAGCGTGAGAATTGTACTCAGATGCTGCGGTAAGCGCTTGAGATTCTTCACATCCTTCCGGATCAGCTCGGGGGTGCGGTGGTGGTGATAGACGATTGCGAAAATGCGGTCGACGACGGCGTGGTACGCCTGCAGGAGACGGACAACGATGCCGAAGATGATATGCGTGATGGCGTAGGTGAGGTAGTGTGTTTGCGACTTGAGGAATGACCGGACGGGCGTTTTGCGTGTCTTGCGGCGCTCGCTGGCAGTCGGTTGCGCTGGTTTCTGTGGTAGCTCGGCGGGGTCGGGGAGATAGCTCTTGAGGAGAGCTTCGCGCTCTTCTACACTTAGTTTTGCACCGCGGGCGCGTAGGTCATCGCGCAGGATCTCGCGATCTCGTTGGGAGACCATTGTTGTGGTGGGTGAAGGAGGGAAGTGGAGATGTGGATGTTCTGGTAGGGTGGGATTGATGGACAGGTATACTAGTAACTAGTAGAATGATTAAAAGTTCGTATTGTGGCTATTTTCAAGGTACTTTGAAGTATTTAAATTATTCCTTTTTTTGATATTTCTATTAATATATCGAGTTCAGCTTCGATTGAATATCTCTCTGCCTAGTATTTGGAGTATACACGTAGGGTATATACGTACATGGAAAATAGATGTGCGTGGCAGTAAACCTCCCCGAACCAAATCCGTCTCCCCCTCAGCTTTCCCCGGATTCCTTCCCTTCAATTACACTCCCAGTCTAAGGAAGAGGAGACACCATTGTCCAGCTCTGCAGGCAGCTCATGTCTGCCCACTTTCAATCATGATGGACAATGCATCCATCACCACGAACCCCGCCCGCACTGTCTTCCCTCAAGGACCCAGTTTCACCCTCGAAGACTTCTCCAGTCGGGACTTCATTGTCAAGGAGTTCATTGAAGCTCTCTCCGACACTGCCATCTCCAACCGTCGCTCGCTAGCCGGTACCGCCGCCGCCGCCAACCAACCCTTCGACCCCAAACCCCTCATCCGCACCTTCGAAAGCGCCCAACGTCGCCTGAGCGAGCTCTCTGGAGACCTCGAGCTCCGCGAAAATGAACTCTCCGCAGCTGTCCGCCGCGCAGAAGCGCAACATGGTCAGAACCTCAACACCCTCGGTCAGAAGCTCCGCCACACCATTGAAAACTTTCAACAGCTTGACACGTCTCTAAATGCCCCCGGCCGCGAGAATCCAGCAGGGACAGGGAACATGGCAGTCGAGACAGGAAAGCGCTTAGAGGAGCTAGATCGACAGCGACGACGAGCTTTGGACGCACATTTCCTCATCCAATGCTGGGATGGTGTGTGCAATCGGGGCGAAATCTCACTACTAGAGGGCCTGCGGCGATCTGGTACCGGAGAGGCCAAAGTGCGCTCTGCACACATTGCGCGCCAACTGCTGCGCATTAGTCAACGACTGGACCCCCAGAGCTGGCAGGAGCATCGGGCTCGATCAAATGGTGGGTATGGGAATAGCTCTTCGTCTGAGGATCTCAACGAAAGCAGCACGCCGCGGCGGAACACGCGAGAGATTATTGAGAAGTTCTCCGAGACGCTGGAGAAAGACTTGTTGAAGCAGTTTGACGATTTCTACCGCAAGGCCAACTTTGACGGTATGAGGGATTGCGCGACTGTGTTGCAGGATTTCAATGGCGGTGCTAGTGTTATTGCCTTGTTCGTCAACCAGCATCAGTTCTTTATTGAGCGCAGCCAGCTGGTGACGGAGGAAGTCGGTGGCGATCCGGAGTCGTGGGAGAAACTGGCTGATCCGGACGCGGAGCTTCCTGGTGTTGACTCCTGTCTCCAGTCGTTGGTCGATGAAGTAAAGGTTGTGGTTCAGGAGGAGTCTGCGATTATTCGGCGGGCCTTCCCCTACTACGAGCAAGTCCTGGGCAAGTTCTTACAGCGGGTCTTTCAGCAATCTATTCAGCAGCGGTTGGAAATGGTGCTGGAGAAAGCGGCCGGTGTATCGTCACTGGCATTCCTTCGTTGTCTACAAAGCTCCCGTGGTTATATCAGTGCCTTGATTGAAGATTTGAAGTCGCACGGGCTGACCGAGCATCCGGAGCCCGTTTCTTCCCAGACAGCCGTGTTGCTAGATCAGCAGCTGGAGGAGCTTTTTGTTCCTTATTTCATTGGATCGTCTTACATCGAACGCGAGAAGCGGACGTTAGAAGAACTCTTCAACGCAGTCTTATTCAGGTTCACTTCCTACCATGCCCGCCGCAAGAAGGCGGCAACAACTTTCATGGCCTCCTTATCCCGGGCTGGATCAGAGCTGCTTTCGACCACACGCGATGCATTTATCAGCCGATTAGACTCACCAGAGATCTCACCTATCCAGCGAAAAGTTCTGCATAGCGTAGCCAAGATAGGCGATACGCTGGAGACCACTCGATTGACCGAGATCAAACTCACAGAAGAAGATGGACAGCCCAGTCTCAGCGACGCTAAGCGGATGCTGAAGTGGCTGGCTGAAGCCGTGGGCCGAGGACTCGAACTTAGTGTCAACAGTGACACACCCAAAGATGTCTCCGCCTTGCTTAGTCTGCTTCTCCTCGCGATGGGAGAGGGATACGTGGATGTCTGTCTAGATGCTGCTCTGGAAGCGGCTACGTCGCAGGAATCCGGCAAGGCCGAGCCCGACTTCTCCTACCTCTTCTCGGCTCGCACCACAATCAGTATTACCACATTGATGGTGATGTGCATCCATGCGGTCCTTCTTCCTCTATCAGCTGCGAGTATCACCACTCGCCGGGATATGGAGAAGCGCACCAGCCAAACCACCTCGCGCATCGAGGACAAAATCAACAGTATCGAGCAGAAAACCATTGACGCCACTTTCTCCTGGGTTAGCAGACTGCTATCTGGTCAGAAGAAGAATGACTTCCGTCCCAGGGAGAGTGATAACACCGCCTGGTTAGAAATGCTACAGACTCCAGTACGTTCCATCCAACATTCACCCCCAGCAAGAACCCTACTAACCCCAACAGACCTGCGCATCAATAACCTCATTTTTAACCCGTCTTCACAACATCGCGCGCACCTCTCTCCCATCCAGCGGCGCTAACGTGCGCCAAGTGCTGACCGAGATAGCCCTTGGAATCCGTAGTCTCCTCCTCGAACACTTCAAACGGTTCTCCGTCAGTGGACCTGGTGGGCTAATGGTAACCAAAGATATGACGCAATATGCCGACCTTTTCAGATCCTGGGACATTGACGATGAAACCAAGGGCCCCGGTGGCGCGCTGGACGTGCTACTAGAAGTCGGCAGTCTATTCGTGATTGGACCTGAGGCTCTCCGCGAACGAATCCGTGGTGGTGCTGCTAGCGGCACGACTGGCGGACCTGGGGGCTCGGGACGCAATACTACCCAGGAGGGTAAGTTGAGTGTGCAAGAGGTGCGGGCTTATGTCTCCCGTCGTGAGGACTCCAATACTTTTGCTATGCAACAGGTTCTTAATGCATTGTGAGGGCAGATCTTGATCTGGGATGTTTATACCCTGTTATTTTTGATTTGGTGGGAGCGTATTGTTTCTACTAGGGGATACATAGACCGGCGTAATGATAATGCATTGGTATTTGGTTTGTCTTGATATATTGCATTTCCATTCTTGTTCTATGATTGCCTTTGTAAACATCCAAATCTTCCTGTATGTCATGTAGCACCGTTCAGGCACTAATGTGATGGACTCTCTCGGCGTTGCGCCCGTTGCATAGCGCCTTCCGGAGGGGTCTGTATAGAAAATCCGGTGCATGCCCCCCTTCTCTAGAGGCCATAAATCTCCACGTTTTTTTTTTTCCTCTCAGATTCCCTCCTATTGTTCCTCTCCAACAGTCCATTCTATAACATTCGGCTACACAGATTCTCGTTGGCATTCCGGGTGTTGGCATTTTGATGTAACTCCCAATGCAGAACCCTGTCACTGGCTGATGTCGATGCATAACTGAAAACACTCCACTGCTGGTTATATGTACGGCTTTTAATTTTCGACAACAGTCTCGCAGGGCTACACCTCCCCTGTCCCGCACTGTAACGCAAAAGCCGGGTGTTGACATGGCATCATGATATCAACTAGCCAGCAATGCAAAAGCCCGTTACTGGTCGGTATCATGATGCGAAGTTCATCCTCAATCAACCGGCAATCATCCGCATCATGCGTTTATATTCGATATTTATGACGATGACCCGTCACAGGTGAATGTGTTCGATGAAGTCGAGCATCTTTATAATCAAGCTATATCCCGAGCTTTGCCAAAGTACGTATAGTCTTGATTTGTCTCCATTCCTCTTTTGAGTAATCGTTGCTAACGCTTCTTCTTTATTAAGGACAAACAGAAAGAAAAAGAAAAGAAAAGAAAAGAAAACCGAAGGCAGACTTAGGGCTAAAATAATTCACAATATAGCCTTGCTTAAGACTGGAAGGGGATATGGCCCGGCGACGTGGACAAACAATATGGTTGGGTTGAGTCATCCTCGAAACTCTCATCTTCGACCTCGGCTGTCCAGATGTCCGGAAAGTGGTTAAGAGCTCTGGATCTTCAAATGGTCCACTATGGCTGTGTCCATACATGTTTCACGGAGGGCCTCATAAATCGTCTTCAAGATGGCCACTACTCAATCTAGTCGAGCCGGGACACTATCTATGAAGTCTTGAACACCCAAGACAAAAGGCTGTTATTTTTGAGGTCCATCGATAAATCCATGGGACGCACTCGTCTTCCTGGAAGGGATTACACTGGATCTTATCCATTCATGTTCTTGAATGCATATCTGTTGGTCGCTTCCTGTCACTATATATGTTTATCCATATATATGAATCACAACTTGGCGCCTCATCAATGTTGGTGTCCCCTTCCTATCACTGCATTGGTACGAACCGGCTAACCAATGACATAGTAAATATATCCTCGAATTGGTCATACATTCCCCTCGCCGACAGCCATTAGATGGCTCAAGTAAACTTTCGGGCTCTGGGCGTGAACACTCCCCAACCAAGGCTTTAATATCTGTTCGTGGGCGGACAGAAAGAAATGCTTCCTTTGCCCTAGCGACCATAATGTCGAATATCTCACAGCCTTGACAATGGTTGTGTGGCATCTCTGCCCTGTGAGAGAGACACTGCAAATATGTGACTCTCTGCAAGGGTGAACAGCCTACTTACCGAGGAAGGCCTCAGTTGAAACAAGGTGCTTGCAGCAATGACATCTGGATTACCTGGGAATGTCCAGCAATGAGGACTCGCATAAGTCAGCAAAGAAGCTATTCCGAGAACTGGAAAATAGCACTCGCCTAGAAACCAATTCGCATGATTGGAGGTGCGGGACTTGCTCCCAATTCCGCGCCGACCGAAGAATTACGAAAGTCCAGCTACAAGAACGGATTGGGAGGAGTTGAGGCAGATGATTCACAGATCATTGGAGCAGCTTTTCTTGACTTGCAGTATGCCGTTCTAAATGGGAGAGTGCCACGTCCTCTCCTGCCTGGTTCATCTCCATCGCGCTGGTCAGAGTGAATGGTTTCCTCTTTCCAATACCGTGCACTCTCCAACGTCCGAATAACTTTCTTCAACTCTCGCAGAGACTTGAATATGTGAGGCCGTTTTTTTGTCAGGTCTCTATTATGACGTTCCACAACCACCTCCGACGGTGTTCAGTGATTGCACCTGGATAGCAGCAGATCAACTAGGGTCGAGGCAGATTCTTTCTAGGGGCATGCCTCAAGGGATACCATGATACCTGGGTACACATCGAGTCGAAGCCTAGAAGTATGATTTTCTCTCATAAACGACCCCGCCATGAAAATGAGTGGTTATACCTTGTTCGTTTCGGCACAGGAAAGAAAAGACCAAAAGACCAATAGGTTCATGGGCAACGAAATCATGACTTCAAACCCAGGGCAAGAGAAACTAGCTGGTGTTTGGGAGTTTTCCTAGTCATCACTGTGTGCTGAGACGAGCAATTTAGATCTTGCTGGTCTGCTGGGTCTGCTTGTGCTACTACTTTGAAGCCCCCCATGGGGTTCCCACGAGCAGGTAGTGGTGGAACTCGAGGGCCACCCGAGAAGTTTGGGCAACTCGCCTGACATTAGCTACGACGAGCCGTCTAGCTTTCCGAGGTTGAGTATGCTTTGGGGGCTCAGCCAATTATGGAACCAAAAATAACTTGTTTTCAGTGTTTCTCCGCGCGGCTTTAGCTATGGTTTACGTTCTTTTTTTTTTTTTTTTTTTTTCTCTTTTTTTTTACGTTCCTCTGTTTCTGCTGTTTCTGATCTTGTCTTTGAGTATCTGACCAATGTACAACGCTGATGTCATTTTCCCTCTTTGTATGTTATATTCTTGGTTAGAATGTGTAGTAAATCCACAAGTTGAAATTAATACAAGACATGTACTCAGGTAGTTAACTATGTGCCTAGACATACATATACCTAGGTATCCACATTTAAAAAAAAAAGCAAAGTAACCATGGAACAAGCGTTAGTCTGGTGAAAAGTTAACCTTGCACGGGGTAACTCTCAGGTACAGCCGAGGGAATGGAATTGGACTAGTGCAGTTTCATCTTGTCTTTAGGGCTTGAATTGGAGAACTGTACGGGGTACGTACCATGGTACTATTCTTGTAGTCTTACTTGACAGTTTATCCAGTTTATCCAGCTTTATTTGTTTTTACTGTCGACATGGCATATTTCGATATCAATGACTGTATTGTCATGGCTCAACCTGGTCTAATAAGGTTGACCCTCGATGATCAACATTTTTAAAGTGTCCGGCAGTTTCTAGAAAGGCTAGAACTTTGAGGATACTTCGAGGCTGTGGAATCAGGTCACCTATGGAAGAGAGTCTAGACCTACAAAGTAATACTACTTAGAACAATTTCCAATCCTGAAACCATCCTATCCTATCCTATCCTTAGTAACATGGGCTGTTCCCGCCGACATAAAAGTCGGGATGCTGCGGTCCATGTGGCTTTCTGTGGCTTTCTGTGGCTTGTGGCCGAAAAACCAAAATGACGGGCCGAAACTTTACCGGTGAACTTCCATTCTTGGAAGGTTCTAAACCACATCGGACTCTCTCTCTTTTTTTCTTTTTCTTTTTCTCTCTGTACTTCTAGCTGGTTTTAGGAATTGTAACCTTGGAAGAAAAGTTTATATACGAAGTATCCAGTACCCTGTACCCAACTTCGAAAGGGGTTTAACCAAACATCGGACACGGCAGTTCGTCTTCCGGCGCAATGCCCCACTGTAATTACGAGATCGGGTACCATCTCCTGCCCACAAGCAATGGAGGTGAGATGCAGCTAACTTTAGCTCACCCAGCTAGGAATAAACAACGACGATCATTGAGCTAGAGATCTCTGGTTCGTAAGGCTCTGCGTCTGCATAACGCTAAAATCTCTGAAAGTGCTCCACCGCGCAACTTGTCCGAGCAAATGGGGAAATATTTTTGAGACTTAACTTGAGCAAGACATTTGAGGTGCTCTGTTATTGTAATATGTCAACTTTAACATGTTATAATTGTCAATTTTTTAAGCAATAGCGATTCCATAAGAACTACTCCGTATATGAGCACTTATGTACGGAGTATGTAGTCTGGAAAAACATGGGCCCAAACATGATTCACTTGGCCCGTGGTAGGCCCGGGGCGTAAAGAACGAACGCAATTCACGACCCGCATTGGTTTATTCTTAGTTATCCCCATTTTTATGTTCTTCTCGTGCGAGCTTTCATGGTTCCTGCATCTCAGGAAAGATTTTATAATACGTCGTACATGTAGACATAGACCCATGGGGGTGGCCATGCTACTATATCACATATACTCGTAGTAACTCATCCTAGATCAAGAATAATAACAGTGTAGTAGCAATCATCGACATCTTCATTTCATTTCCAAGTTCTCTCAGGTCCCAGCCGTGCTAGTATGCCCCATCAGACCTAGAGAGGCGCCACCCAACCTTGGCCCACAGTCTTAGGCAAAGAGATTTACTCCATAGAGATCTTGATTTCGAGGGATATTTCAATAATAGGATATTTCAATAATAAATAAAAGAGACACCCCAACACCCTCGAATCCCCTCTTTGTAGCGAGATATTCACTCTTTTACTGGTGACCTCCGGTTGCCGTCCCTTCATTCTGACTACTATACCCTCGTTTATGCTTGCAAATTGAATACATAACCCGCAATGGCTGAACAAAACCCTAGAAAGTCCATTGTGGAAGACGTTTTTATTCCCAAAGAACTACTCACGACTGCTAAATTCAACTCGCCCTGGGAATTGGCTAGATGGGAACAGTCTCTCCCCGACAACAATCGTATATCACTCCCAGAGGCTCGCACGTCTTCCAATCGTCCTCTGAGTCTTTCTGCTCTGCGAGCATTACCAAGACCGAAGTCTGCAATTCGGTCCCGTGGACGCAGTGATCCTCCCGCTTTTCAGGGTATGATATTGATATCCCAGATCTATGGCAGAGCCTTGTAGAATGTCTTGAGAGATCCATATCAAAATCGATGCCACCATCTTATATACATCAAGCTAATCCTATCTCATTCTTCAGGCACACTCGACTACGATACAAAGCCCACCACATTTGAGCCTCCCTCTCCAATCCCCGAGAAAGGACCAATAACGCCAGTTGAGAATGCATTCCTCAATCCCCAATCACCCAGCAACTCCAGCTCCCAGACAATCAGTAGCGAGCAGAGCAGCCTGCAAGAAGTTTACGAAAAAGCCAAATTAAGAGGTGTTGCCATCCAACGAAAGTATTGGGTGCGGTTATTGTTTGAATACAGCATCTATGCATTCCTCGTTCTGTTTGTCTACTTTGTTCTCATCGGTATGCCACTGTGGAAAGGTGCTGTCTGGTGGCTATACTATGTTGTCCGAACCAAGTTCGTTATCCAAGGAGGATACGCAATTACCATTGGTCTTGCCGCCCTGTAAGTGATTTCTCAAGACTCCAACTTTCTTGCCCTAACCAGGATAGATACGCATTCTGTCCTCTAATGATCCTCTTCGAGAAGGATCCTCCGGCTGCAGACTCTGAATCCGAATCTCCAGACTTGGAGAGTAACATCTCCAAGGTAAAATCAACTGCCCTCCTCATCCCCTGCTATAAGTCTGCAGCAATCGTCGGTGCAACTATCGAAGCCGCCTTGAAAATCTTCCCCAAAGAAAACATCTTCGTCATAGCGAATGGCAACTCCAAAACCCCCTCGACAACACAGAAGAAGTCTGCAAACCCTACGGCGTAAATCACCTCTGGGTACCCATCGGCTCGAAGATCGTGGCGCAGTTCGTTGGCTGCTATGCAGCCAAAGACTTTGAAAATGCTGTCCTAATCGACGACGACTGCCTCCTACCCCCAAACTTCCCAATCGTCAGCGACAGACTCAAGAAGAACGTCAAATGCATCGGATACACAATTAAAAGTGTCGGCCCCAATTCCTCAAAGGGTACATACTGCCAACAAGCCCAGGACCTCGAATACAAAATGTCCGGTATCCAGCGTGCTTTCTTCGGGAAATTCGGAAGTGCTACATTCCCACACGGAGCTATTTCGCTCTGGAATATCGAGTTCTTAAAACAGACATTCCATGAACATCCCGGTTTCTCCGTGTCCGAGGATTGGTTCTTCGGCGATGCGTGCCGACGTCTAGGTGGACGCATCACGATGTGCTCGCAGGTCTTTGTCGAAACCGAAACGCCGGCTTCGGTGTTCTGGAGTGGTTCTGGTGGTAGTCGTGGTGGATTCGGTGAAATGACCATCTTCCAGCAACGGTTTAAGCGGTGGAATTTCTTCTTCGTTGTTGGTATTTACTACGATTTGAAGTATATTTTCACTAGCTGGAAGCTGGGTTGGTGGGAGTTTGGTGCTAAGTTATGTGTTTTCCAAGAGGTATGATCGACACGTCCATCCAATACTATCTCCAACATTTGATGAAACATGCATATGTCGATGTTAAGGTCAAGGTCAAAGTTATACAAGCTAACCCTAACAGGTCTACGAAACCCTTATCTACCTTCTCGCCCCATTCGTCCTCCCAATCTCATTCATAGTCCGTCCCTCATTCTGCGGAATGCTTCTCGGCGTCACGATTGCGATGTACATCCTCAACGTGATAATCTTCAACGAGATTCACCTCCGATTAAAGAAAGAGCGCATCGACTGGAAAGTCCTGTTGTTCTATTATACGTTCTACAAGATTGCATTGACAGTCGTCAATGTGTTCAGCTGCTACTGGTCGCTATACAAGTATGCGCGGTACTTTGCGCAGCGGCATCCGAAGGTCATTGAGGACCGGGATGCAGTTGAAGTGTTACTTAGTCTGGAGAATGATTCGAACTCGAGGAGGACATCGGTTGAGGATGATGTTATTCCACTTGAGGGTGGTATGCTAGGCAAGGGCCTTGGGAGGAAGCTGACGCTTACGAAGGTCCAGGCTGGGAAGAGGAGGATGACAGGGGAGGATGAGAAGGCTGGATGGATTTGAATCTACGGAGTATAAAGTGGGTGTTATGGATTTGTGTTTATAGAAAGATGTACATGTACATAGTAGTGCGTATATGCACTTGGATGCCAAATAAATTGATGTGACTCTTCATTTACTGTCTCCAAAATCAATATACCTATGTACGAAGTATTGGAAACCCTCATTTGATATGGATCAGCGCAATCTCACGTTATGAGATGACGAATGCGATGACGATATCTCAACCTTTGCCCAGCCCATAACTATTCCTCAACCCGAGCCGGGAATTATACAAGTCTTCTATGATATTCTCTAGTTCAATGTAGCCGGATTAGTTATTATTGCTTACTCTGTATTTTATAATCCGTACTGCGATTGTCCTTGGGTAAATCCCCCCGACAGGAGCCCGAAGTAGAGAGTATGTTGTATGGCCACTGTTAACTGCATCACCAACACGGAGACTTGCATTAATACCTCATATTCTTCCTTCAGGCTTACAGGAAGAGATACTCCCTAATCCGTACAGTATCAGCGGTGAACCTCCCACGCGTTTGCTTCCACAAATAGCAAGATAACACTTGCAGGTGATATATCATACCTAAAAGCCCGAATTCGCACGCCTGGACATGCCACGAGTTCTGGAAGGAGGGCCTCCTCGTTTGTCTCATGCAATTGAAGTTATATGCATTAGCCCGATGCAAGGAGAAAAGGGATTTGAATTACTCGGTAGAATAGGAGTGCCTAGTGGATTTTCGTTTCTTTTTTTTAAAAAAAAAAAAAAAAATTCAAAAGTAAAAACAAGCCATGGCTATGGGGATACTTGGGTAGACGTGTTACCAGCATTGTTGATTCTACAGCTCATACCATAGGCATATATTTATTTTATTAAATTACAATCAATATTAGTGTGGATCATGTGTATGTACTCTGTATGCAAGTGTGATTGTCGGAATAATAGCCGATCACTGAGATATGTCGGTACTGCATACTCCGTACGGAGTACATAAATTGCATATTGTAGAACGTACTCTTCAACTAAATCCAGTCAAATGAAGTCATTGGCTCCTGGTAATCTCCGGATTACAGTTCAGACTATGGAGTATCAATGAAATTTAATTTAGCTGAGTTTGTTATAGATCATTCCGGTTTAGAATGATCTGAGCTGTCAGGTACGAAGTAGTGTAACGGTTTACTAGTTTAGTTAATTAGTTATATTAACTACATATAGTACGTAGTTATAGTGCTGTGTATTAACTATGGAGTATGAAGTACTCCGTAATTAATTAATATCCCGTCAAATTCAGCCCAAATGGTAACTGTCCTTCTTTGTTAAAGTGGACACTCCAATCATCTGTTCTCATTGGACGTTGAGATATTTGACACATCAACTTTTCCTTCCCCCGGGATGTCATATCCTCGTATCTTCCGATCCCCCAACCGTTAGCTCCGCGACAATCCGCTAGTACCCAATATTAAGAAAATAGACAGGGAACAGGGAAGATCACAAAGGCTTCACCGTTTCCAATTTCAATTTCCAATTTTCCAAATCCCCCTCCCCGATCTAGAATTTGTGTGTTTCAGACCGAAAATCAGCGATCCAAGTGGAGCTGAGGCTGGTTCCCTTACTGGGCCACGTCAAAGCGAGGCGCGTAACTACTTGGTGACTTGGCAATGTTGGGTAAATATAATGGGGATGGGGATGGGGAATGGATTATTCACATGGTTCGTAGGAAAGATCGATCGAGAGTTCGTTTGAGATTTTTTTAAGTTCGTTTGATGTGTTCGCAGACATCAATAGAGGGGTTCATGATAGATCATATAGAGGGGTATAGAATGAAAGCAAGTATACCAAGTATACTCCGTATATGGAGAGAGGTAAGATCTGGAAATAGAAGTATCACAATCACAAGGGCGCTAATGTACAGCATCCTGTCACATATCAAAAGAGTTTAAAGATATTCAAGATATTCAAGATATATATTAGATCGCCTTCTCCTTTTTTTTTAACCCAATTTTCCATTTTGGATGTTCTATTGGAATTTGTATACATTTCGAAGTATACCCTTTATTACTATTTATCGCTATTTACTACTATTACTACTATTACTCTTCTATTATTGCCGGTCATTTCGATTATTCCTTTCTATTTCCTTTTTTTTTTTTTTTTTTCACAATGTCAGAGGACTTCGAGTCACTACCTCCAGCAGTACGAAGAAAGGTAAGGGTTCACTCATTTCCTCCTTCATATCCCCATCACTCCCTAGTCTCTCACCGTCACAACGCTCGGACTTCTCATTTCCCTCCCCCCAATAGCTTCTCTCCACAGGATCATCCTAACCCAATTAAGCCTGATTTGCCCGTTTTCTCCATTTTTGTCCTTCTCTTTGTCTGCCCTTACTCGGTGATCGACGGTGATTGGCTGTGATCGACTGTGATTTACCCCTGAGCCCCTCGGTGGAGGCTGACAACCCGCACTATCGTCCGTGGCGCTATTTCTCTCGCAACATTGGCCGATGTTGACCGATATTGGCCAATGTTAGCGCATGGGATATATTGTGTGCTCCACTTTATCCCCCCATATTGCCTATCCATTGCTGTTTAATGTTCATAGCTAACTCAAAACAGTTCTTCTCGAATGTCGAGCGGTTGCGTATTCGGCTAGCTCAGAGCGATCACGGTTCCCCTACGTGCTCCACGTCAAATTATCAGACCGATAATCGGGTCTATCGAACCCCTCGTTTTGGGTCGGGCCATCAGTCGCGTGGTTTTCGGTCCGGATCTAGGAAGCGAGGGCTCGAGAAACGTTCTTCTCCTTCCAAGAAATTACGCCAACCCGGTTCTCTTCAATTGGCCTACCTGGCCGCCCAGGCGGACTCTCAATGCTTCCATACTCTTCCCGCTAAGATTCAACAAAAGCTTTTCTCTCCCGAAGAACGGAGACGGTTGAGGAACGCCTATCGCCAAAGTCTCATCTACGACGCTGCCGACGAAGCTTACCATCGAGATTCTGGAAACTCTCGCCCTTCCACCGACACTCGCCCCTCCCAGACAACTGCCTCCCAGACAACTGTGTCTTTTGTTCAGCCATCGACCGTCTTCTACTCAGACTCTGAATCGGACGAAGAAGACCCAAACATGGATCAAACATTCCATGATAGTTTCCGGTGGCTCGACGAGGATGGAGATCTGGATTTGTCCCTCGATGAATACCACGCTCATGTGGCAGATGCTGCTACAATAAAGAGAACCCGCCCCTCTTTCCGTCGCTCCTTATCCTTTTCCAACCATCTTCGCAAAACATTAGAAACCAACCCAATTTCGGTTCGGGGACTCCCGCCTGTCAACCAATCTCAGCCTCTCACCACTCGACCCAACCGAACCCCCGAACCGCGCCCATCATCCAGCCACCGATTCCAACATACCGCCCAATCATCCACCTCGAGCATCGATCCCTGTGCACAATATTACCAAGACCCCGATGCCCGTTTGAAATTGCGCGTATACCTGGCATCCCCGCAAAAGTTCGACGAAGCCATTGAATTCGGATTTCCCTCGCTGGATCAAAATAAGGAGAATATCGGCCCAGAACCAATCACACCGCAACAAAGTTCGCCGATACCTACTCTGGTCAGTTCGGACTTTGGCACATTCTTCGAAGATGACGATGGCACTATGGTGGGGAGCCCCGGGGGATCGATAGTAAATGAACCAATACCTTCACCCGTGTTCTCCCACCGTGAGGTGCCCCGATCCTCCGTGGAATCATCAGCCCTCTTGCAGCGACGCCAATCCTGGATGCCTGGAACAAAGGGAGTCCCACAACGGCTTCCGGGAAACCGTGAGATGACTCTCAAAATGACACTCACTCGACCTGACCTCCGCACCGACTCTCCCACTCCTCCTGCTTCTTCCAAAGAAAAGGAAGATCCCTTACGATTGGCTGCACTTCCACCCCCGGATCGCAGTCAGTCGATCTGGGACTCCGACTTGGACGATCAAGGTATGGTGAAAAAGATGTGGCGCAAGCTCCGACGCCGAGTTTGATTTGAATGTTTAAATGTCCCGACTTCCATTCCTTTTATTTTTTAATATTTCTCATTTTTATTTCCAACACCAGAGTGTTGTATTTTGTTCGTTTGTCACGAACCCCAATTTCGTTCTATACCATTCTGAATGTCTTTTCAGGATATCCGATCCTTGCATTTTGAGCGATGTTTTCTTTTCTACATGGGGTTCCTTAACATTTGTCTTTGCATGTATCTATTTAGCAGTGTTTTTGTACATATAACCCGCTGTTTGATGTCAATCCATTTCCACCTTCATAGACTAATCCTAATTGCGTAGTATGATCCATGGTTGGCTGTCAGTAGACTTCCTTCATCAACCATGGTCCAGTCGATAGGTCCGATAAGAATATTCACGTGACAAGGAGCTTCGATCCCAAGGCAGAGGCCACGCAGCTCCGTCATCAGTATCACTATCTTAACTCACGACATTTCTATCTGCCTGTTCATTCATTGCTGGCATCTAACAATTCTTTCCTTTCTAGCAAATTCACATTCCCTCCCTCAATCGATTGACCCCGTTTTCCCGGTCCGGTCCGCTCAAGCTCCTACCCACATACCTCATCAGATGCCTACGCAGCACCGGTCATGATCCCACGGTGGCTGCTGCTCACACTGAGCCTTCTGCTGGTATGGATATCGCATCCAGCAGCGGCAAATGGAAACGAGCCGAATATCGTGACCCATGAACTCAACGCTCCTCCCTCAGACCTATTCTACTTCCGCGGCACGAACACGATCCTCTACCGCGACAAGAATTCCCTCACCGCGCATGTCTCCTTCGACGGTGGCGAGAAATGGGAGACCGTCAAGGGCAAGGATGGAACCATCGAAGGCACCGTCGAGTTGATCTGGAGACATCCATTTGACGACAACCGCGCGTACATCCTCGGCGAGAATGGCAAGCACTGGATCACGACTGACCAGGCCAAGTCATGGAAGCCTTTCCAAGTGGAT